CAGGCCGTTCGGGAGCCCCAGGCGTTCGGTAGTTTGTTCCCCTGATGCCAATCGGTACTTTCAGTATAACTTGAATTTAATGTGTGTTTCGTGCGGCGTTCGGTTAGTTAGGCTGGGATCTGAGCGGTATTCCCACGAACTGTGCGCTCAGACCCCAGCTATCTACCGAACGTCCATTCGTTTAAATTAAGGGAATATTATGGGAATTATGTATTTTAATGTGAAATGTAAGTTCTGCTGTACGGAGGGATAATCCACTTAACGGTATATTTTAGTGGGAGTATCCCTCTCATGCAACAGTGCATGGTGGGAGAAATGTATGTATTGTTCAGTTCCCCATGTAGTCCCCTACTGTACCACACCTGGAATGTCAGTAGGGTAACCTCTTGCATGGGGAATCCCATAAATACTGTGCCTGTAATTAAAAACCTCAGTTGACCTCCAAGCTATGTGTCGTCTAGTTCTTGGGAGGAAGGGATTGTAACTACGCTACCTGGATTTTACCTGCTTTGTTCCTGCTTGATTCTGTCTACCAGCGGAGATACCGTGGATAATACTACTACTCTGCTACAGAATGTAAGCTTTTTATGTTACATCTTTACTATGGACGTCTTATAACCAGTGAAATTAATCATATGTGCACATAAGCAAAACAAATCATGCAAACGGTACGGTAAAGTAACCTTACAGTAACAGAAAGAGTAAATGGATGCTTGAAATGTAGACGATGAGAACATATATTGTACTCTCTTCCACGATCCTTTACAAAGATTAGTGATTATTCACAGATACAGATTCTCTAAAATTCCAAAGGCCCCTTACAACAAGCAGTACCTACTGTTGGGAATCATTTCTGCATTTTCATATTCAGGTCAGGTTTCCAAAACTGGAGTTATAATTGGTAGGAGCAGTGCTTACACTCTATTTCTTACACATGGTTAAAATCTCTACTGTATAATGATCAGAATGATAGATGGCTGAATTAGAATTTGTAGGGCAGGCTATAGTGTGAAGATGCTCTATTGATCCAATGATGCAAGGGGGAAATAATGCAGTATTGCTATTTTTATTGTACTAATGGTATTTTCGAACGATAAGCTTTGGGGAGTTGGTATTTTTTTTCAAGTCGAAATCAATGAGACTAGCGTTAGACACACAGTTCCAGCAGCTCTACGGTTTTATTTGCTTTACTTATCATTGTGTATCTTTTTTTATTAGCATCCACAGTGCATTTCTTTAGGGTGTGTATATATATTTTTTTTAATACAAACATTACTTATTCATGAACAACATTTACTTTCCTTCATCGAGCAAAAACTGAATTGTTTATTTAAAATGACTAGCTAAATTATACTGTAAAGTAACATTTTTTAAATAAATTAGGCACATTGAGAGTTACAAAGATCCTTCAACATAAGATGGGTTCCAGCTATTAAACTATGCTCCTTCAAATCAACATAATAAAACAAAACAAAAAAGCACTGAATACATCTAGCTGAACACTAGAGCCAATTGGTATATTAATTAGGTGACTAGTTTTTTTTACCTGGATATATAAATTGGAGTAGAGTTACAAATAACCATGCGGTAAATAAAGGTGGCTTCATTTTATTACATCAATTTAAAGAGCATGTTTTATTTACTGGGAGTTTATATGCTATTGACCTTAAAATTGCCTTATGTTGGGATAGACCATTCCTAGAATGAAGACTATGGAGTAAATATCTCAGCTTTACCTTCATTTATTTGCTGTAAAGTTACTACATTTATTTGTTTACAGATAGAAGGTTGTCACGCTGAATTGTTTTTGCACAGTGACAATGAGTGCATTGTAGTTTACTTTGAGAATACTGTTAGGCTTAAAACAACTTTAACTTAAAGGGACACTATAGTCACCAGAACCACTGCAGTTTAATGTAGTGGTTCTGGTGTCTAAAGCATGTCCCTCCAGGCTGAGCAATGTAAACACTGCCTATACGAATTATATAGGAAGCGAAAGGGCAAATGCAGAATGCATTACCTTTTCATTTCAGTTCTTTCGTTTAATAAACTCCGCAAGTAGGGGCATGTCGCCTAAAAAGCGAGCAGCCAGTGGCTGCTCGCTGTCATATAAAACTACTAGTGACTGGGCAGCTATTGGTGGGGAACCCAAATAACTAAAATGGGGGGGACATAGTGCCCCCCCGTGCTCCCACCCATGACCCCAGGTGGGGGCTATTAATATAAACGGGGGGACCTAGTGTCCCCCCCAGATCCCCTGTGACCCGTGGTTGGGGACCCTAATTAATTAAAGGTGGGGACCTAATTTCACTCCTGGTCCCCACCCATGTGCGGCGGGTGGGGACCCCAATTAAATTAAAAATATAAAAAGGCAGGGAGAAACAAAAGTATCTAATGTCTGGATACAAATTAGCAATAAGGGTACAGATAAGAAAGCAGAGCGTAGTATCCCTAATTAAATTATAAAATAAAGGGGGGGACCTAAATGTCCCCCCTGGTCCCCATCCATGAGCAGCGGGTGGGGACCCTAATGAAATAAATAATGGAGGGGACAGGTCCCCACCCAAGAGCGGTGGATGGGGACCATAATTAAATAAATAAATAAAGAGCGGGGACCTAATTGAATGCAACCAATCAGAGTGTTAGGAGTTAAATTACACAGCATGTGGAAATTTCCCACGCTGTGTAAAATGACTTAGAGTACTCTGATTGGTTGGATTCCAAGCCAACCAATCAGAGTGCTGTGACAGGTAAATGTAGAGACTTAACTGTCAGTCTCTTCATTTACCTGTCAGAGCACTCTGATTGGTTGGCTTGGAATCAACCAATCGGAGTGCTCTGAGTCAAATTGCAGGGAGTGGGTAGCCTATATAAGGCTTCCCCCGCCCTGCAAAGCTAATTTGCCGCAGAGCCCACCGGGGCATGAACATGGATTTTTTTTCGTCTTGTGAATTTTGGCTTCATTTTTTTTGCGCACCGGTTCTTTTTTATTTTAACAGTTGCAACTGGACAATTATGGATTTTTATTTGGGGCTGAAGAAAGAAAAGAAAAGAAGACATCTAATGGCAAGTATGAAATTTTATTTTACAGAATGTTAGTTTATTGGCCCCCTTCACTATTATTAGGGTAAGGGGGGTAGGGTATTTTTATTGGGAGGGAGAGTGACTAGGGGCTTGCGGACCCCTAGTCACTTTATTATTTGTGGTCCCCACCCACCGCTTATGAGTGGGAACATGGGGGGGACATTAGGTCCCCCCCTTTATTTATTTATTTAATTAGGGTCCCCAAACACCACTCATGGGTGGGGACCTGGGGGGACATTAGGTCCCCTCCATTATTTATTTAATTAGGGTTCCCACCCGCTGCTCATCGGTGGGGACCAGGGGGGACATTACGATGGATGAAAACAAATAATTTTTTACCGAATTTCGTCCGAAAAATGAATGCTTTACGGACGAAATTCGGAGTGGACGAATGAAATTTTTATTTAGTATGAATTCATTCATACGAAACAAAAATTTCACTGGTGCACATGTCTACAGAGGAGGATTAACCAAAAGGTGACCCCAGCTAGCCACCTAGGGTCCAGGTGTTAGACATGGGCCCTAGAACCATGAATTATCTTAGTCCTATTTACTATCCCTATATGAAAAATCAGAGAGGGGGGCAAACTGGAAACCTGCCTATGGCACTGTAAAATCTTAATCCTTCTCTGGCTTGTGCAAAGAAGTTCAGGTGAATCAATTTGTCGGGAAAAATAAAAAAAATTGTTTGGATAGTCCAAAATTCGTGCACAGGGTGGTTTGGCTCGGACGATTTTAATTCATTAAAAAAAAAATCACAAAAACAATTTGGATGAACTAAAAAGTACTCGAAAATGCGCTAATCAGTTACTGCAAAATATCAATAATATGTATATATTTTCCCAGGGCCGTCTTTAACGCGGGGCAAACGGGGCAGTTGCCCCGGGCCCAGTTTCTCTTGGGGGGCCCGAGGCACCTGCCCCGTGGGCCCCGCTGCCCTCATCAATTTATTTTTTCCCCCGTCCCACCGGGTGGCCCATGCACTTAGGGAAGTGGCGTACATACCAGGGTCGCAGCTGCGACCCTGGTATGCACCCACAGGGCCAGCATCTTCCCCTGGGGGGCCCAGGAGGCGGCCACCCCAGGGCCCCCCGAGGCTGGCCCTGGTGACCCCGGCGGGCGGGTGGCCGGTCGGGCAGGAAGGCAGGCGCGCAAGGGAGCACTCAGTGCTTCCTCTTCAGCTCCCTCGCGCACCGCACTGATACCGGAGCCGGAAGATGACGTCATCTTCTGGCGCCGGCATCCCTACGCGGCGCGCGAGGGAGCTGAAGAGGAAGCACTGAGTGCTCCCTCGCGCGCCCGCCTTCCTGCCCGACCGGCCACCCGCCCGCCGGGGTCAGCAGCACCACTGGACCCCAGGGAATCCCCCCAGCATTCCAAAAGGTAAGGAGGCTGGGGGGATTACATTTAAAAAAAAAATGTGTGTGTATGTGTTTGTGTGTTAGTGTATGTGTGTTAGTGTGTGTTTGTGTGTTAGTGTGTGTTAGTGTATGTGTGTTAGTGTGTGTTAGTGTATGTGTGTTAGTGTAAGTGTGTTAGTGTGTGTTTGTGTGTTAGTGTATGTGTGTTAGTGTGTGTGTTTGTGTGTTAGTGTCTGTGTGTCAGTATGTCTGTCTGTGTGTCAGTATATCTGTGTGTGTTTTTGTCAGTATGTATGTCTGTCTGTGTGTCAGTATATCTGTGTGTGTGTGTGTTTCAGTATGTCTGTGTGTGTGTGTGTCAGTCTGTCTGTGCATGTCAGTATGCCTGTCTGTGTGTGTGTCAGTATGTCTGTGTGTGTGTGTCAGTATGTCTGTCTGTCTGTGTGTCAGTATATATGTGTGTGTGTATATCTGTGTGTGTATATCTGTGTGTGTCAGTATGTGTGTGTCAGTATGTCTGTCAGTGCGTCAGTATGTCTGTTAGTGCATGTGTATGCATGTGTCAGTATATCTGTCTGTGTGCCAGTATGTCTGTGTGTGTGTGTGTCAGTATATCAGTCTGTTTGTGTCAGTGTATGTGCCTGTGTGTGTGTGTCAGTATTGCTCAGTGTATGTGGGTGTCAGTATATCTGTCAGTGTGTGGGTGTCAGTATTTCTGTCAGTGTATGTGTGTCAGTATGTCGGTATATGTGTCTGTGTGTCAGTATGTCTGTATATGTGCCTGTGTCAGTATGTCTGTCAGTACGTCTACCAGTGTATGTGTCTGTGTGTGTGTCAATATATGTACCTGTGTCAGTGTATGTGCCTGTTTATCTGTATGTAGTCAGTGTATGTATCTGTGTATCTGCTTGTGCGTCAGAGTGTGTACCTGTGCATCTGAGCCGCAACTTTAAATACAAATACACCCCTCCATTCAAACTTCAGCACTACATATAAAACACACTCCTGCATTGAAACGTCAACACTACATACAAGCACACTCCTACATTCAAAACAAACACTACACATAAATGCACACTTGCATTCAAACTCCAGTACCACATACAAACACATTCACACAAACATACTCCATACAAACACATGCTTACATTCAAACATACAAACATGGCTCAGTGCTAAATACAACCCTGCAAGCATGGGAAATTGGTAGAGTCCCAGCTGTCAAAGCATTGTTGGAGTTGCACGACAGATGGGGTTCTACCTTAGTCCAACCTTGCAATTGGGGGTCCCAATAAAATTCATTCTACTTTAGTACCGCCACTGCGTTGGGATGGATGCCGTGATTGCATACCAGGGAGTGAGGCGCGAGAGCGGCAGGGCCCAGGGGGCCCAAGCAAACACTTGCCCAGGGTCCATTCGTTATTAAAGACGGCCCTGTATTTTCCAGTAGAATGAAAGGTGCATTTTGAATCATTTGGTTGAAAAAAACAAAAAACAAAATAGTAAGTACAAAAATTTATATTTATACAGGACGAGAGGCCCAAGACAACACCATCAGGGCGCTCACCCTCATGCACGGGAAAGAGAGTACGAAAGTGGGCCTTCTCCTGCTGTCAACGGACGCAGAGAAGGCCTTTGACAGAGTCTGCTGGACATATCTCTTCGAAACACTGACCCACGTAAGATTAGGACCACACATGCGACACTGGATAGAGGCACTGTATCGAGAACCAACGGCCCAAGTGCTGGTAAATGGGGCGCTAACTGACGGCTTCCAAATACACAATGGCACGAGACAGGGATGCCCCCTCTCCCCACTCCTGTTCGTCCTTGCCCTGGAACCGTTCCTTGCACATATCCGACATAACACGGACATAACCGGCCTAATGATAGGCAATACACACCACAAGGTGGCCGCTTACCCGGATGACCTACTTTTTGTAATAACCAAACCCGAAATCTCCCTCCCGAACATCCAGAGAGACCTACAGATATATGGAGACATATCCAACCTGAAAATTAACTACAGTAAATCGTTCATCCTTAATGTTAGCGTTCCTACTGCAAGGGTGAACCCCGTCCGACACAGCTTCCCCTTCCAATGGGCCGAGCACAAAATTAGATACTTGGGAGTCTGGCTGACCAAGCAGAGCGGGGATATGCTTAGGGAAAATTTCACAGATACACTTCAGACGCTCCAAAAAGACATGCGGGAATGGTCATACCCCCACATCTCATGGTTAGGGAGAGTACAGGTCATAAAAATGAACTTCCTCCCACACCTCCTCTACCTCCTCCAAACCATCCCCATCGAGATTCCGGGCCCCTTTTTTAACACCCTCAGAACAGAAATGACCAGATATGTGTGGAACGGAGGGAAACCCAGGGTGAAATTTTCCACCCTGATGCGGCCTAAGGACAAAGGAGGATTAGCCCTCCCAGACTTCCACCTATACTACATGGCCACACACCTGCAGAGAATTGTGGAGTGGTTAAAAGACAAAGTGCACAAACTATGGAAGACGGTGGAGGAGACAGAGGCGGGTAGACCGCTCTCGGGACTACCCTGGGGCCGAGAAGCGAGAAGATGGGACGAAATGTCCATCTACACAAAACACACTCTGAAAGTATGGAGGAGGGTAGCGGGGAAGGGGAATATGTCGCCATACCCCTCTCCCCTCCTACCACTGACGCATAACAACGATTTCCCCCCGGGACTGGACCCAAGAGCCCTCAAAGACATCCTTCCAGACGCACACCCATGCTTACACCATGTCCTACAGGGAGGGAAATGCAAAAAACTGTCAGACATGATGGGAGAGATACCCCCAACCTTTATGCACCACTTTAGATATACCCAACTAACCAACTACGTCCACACTCTACCACAGGGACCAGCACTCACTAGAGAACACACCACATTAGAAGTGGTCTGCATGCACCCAGACCCGCTCCCACATGGAGTGTCCTTCCTATACACCATGCTACAAACAGACATCCCAACCGAGACACCCGTATTTATGGGGAAATGGGAGACTGCCCTAGGATACACACTGACAGACACGGAATGGGAGTCCATTTGCTACCTCACACACCACTGCTCTACACACAGCAAAGCACAAGAGACAGCCTACAAATTACTAACTCACTGGTATAGGACACCACACATCCTCCACCAAATAGACCCAGACCAATCCGGCCTATGCTGGAGATGCCAACAAGAGGAAGGCAGTATAAAACACATCTGGTGGGACTGCACAAAGATTAAACCATATTGGCAGAATATACACAAAATGCTAGAGAAATTCACGGACGAGCCACCCCCCCTGGAACCGGCAGCAATGCTCCTACACCACACTCCTGTTCCCCACTCTAAATACAAAAGATCTGTGACCATTCGAATACTTAATGTAGCCAAACAAGTACTCCCCCAATTCTGGAAACAGAGCATAACACCCCCACTTAAGACCTGGTTCAGCCAAATGGAGGAACTCAGGACAACAGAGGAACTGACCATGACGACTAATGCTACCCCAAAGACCTACATGGACATATGGACATATTGGATCCTAGAGACGGTGAAGGAAGGATTCCAAATGGAACTTAGATCAGACGAACGCCACACCACAGACAGCTAGGACTTAGAATACACGACAGACGACGAAAGACAACTGACTATCCTAACATCCCCCTCCCCACCCTAATCCCGACTTTCCTCCCCCCTTCTAAGGAACCACGCAAGACAATAACCCCAACCCAAGCAGATAGACTTACTAATAGAGGAGACACCTGAGCCCTGAACATAAAACCCATATGGGTTCACACCCATCTCTCGACCTACAAGGGACACAACCCTCGTGAAACACATAACGAGCAGGCGTGATAATCACCAGATAGCCCGAGGGCAACACCAAGATACAATCACGCCCTCCCGAAATATGAAACACAAACCCCACAACACAGATGCACCACAACCCACACACAAGACACTCAGGACACTAAGAGGAGAGACACATGAATCCACTCAGGACACAATATACAACCCAAGACGAAGGGACCTGTGTGTCACCTAACAATAAAGGTTGGATAAGAGGCCTGTGAGCCTCAACACATACTGAACACGAATCACAACTGTTGTACACGAAACATATAAACCACATAAATACGGCTTACTCAATAAGCCGAGTGGCAGATGGAAAATGTAAATGAAGTTACTCGTGAAACTTGATAATAGGGACTTGCAAGTCCGTCGACATTGCGGGCCTGCGAGCCCAACTACATATCAGTGTTTTCTTATATTATGGTAACTCACCTTAGAGACCTGCGAGTCTCAAAACCTTGAATAAGCAATATAAATAAAAATTATATTCACAAAAAAATAATAATTTATATTTATATATTTTTGTAACCATCAATAATTTTTTCCCATCATTCATCTCTTTATTTGGCACCTTGGATGGATATCTGAATCATGGAACAAATGAACATGCTATTCTACTTTCTGAATAGCAGAAGGTGCAAGGCTTCTAACGCTTGTTTCTTGTATAGTTAGGCAGCTTGAAGAAAACCAAACCAGCGTCTCTTCTTTCTGTTCGTGGGAGAACTCCAGGTGGTATAGAGTAAAAAAAGAAAACAGCACTGATATACTGTAGTATATTAAGTACAGCTACTGCAGAATGATATATAGAATAAAATAGAAAAAATATAGTGCTCACTGTTATAATTAATAAAATGTATGAAAAGAGATGTACTCACTGCTGGAGAGCAAAATAGGTTTTTCGCAATCCATCTGACATGGGTGGTATATATTATCAGCTCCAAAAGACATTAAATGCAATTATTTTATTTGCCTCATCAGTACGTCTCATATATTACACTATATTCCATTCTCCTGTCCTTTTGTTTTACATATCAGCACAATCTGATTTTGGACTTACGAACACTGTTAAGGCGCTGCTTCCCTCCCCCTTTTCTCTACGCAGTATTAGTCCATTGTCTGCTTCGTTTGTTCGTGATATGTCCATGTGGCGTCAGAGTTACAGACTTTAGATGACCCGCCGATTGCCATAAATTCCAATAAATCCCCGTTCTTATGAAACTGAATGCACTAGTCCATTTTATTGTAAATATTTTGCTTTTGCATGCCATGGCTGGAACATTGTGTGCTAAAAGGAATGTAAAACAAGTTGTTGGATTTTCGTCAGCGCACTCCCCAGCCCTCGGAAGCTTTTAGTGCTGCAGCAGAAGCCACTCACCGACCGAACCGGCAAATCACCATGAGCGACGCGGCCATCTCATTCGCCAAGGACTTCCTGGCCGGCGGTGTGGCCGCTGCCATCTCCAAGACTGCTGTAGCCCCCATTGAAAGGGTCAAGCTTCTCCTGCAAGTCCAGCATGCAAGCAAACAGATTACCGTTGACAAGCAGTACAAGGGCATTATGGACTGTGTTGTCCGTATTCCCAAAGAACAAGGTTTCGTGTCTTTCTGGCGTGGTAACCTTGCCAACGTGATCCGATATTTCCCAACTCAGGCCCTCAACTTCGCCTTCAAGGACAAGTACAAGCAGATTTTCTTGGACAATGTTGATAAGAGGACCCAGTTCTGGCGGTACTTTGCCGGTAACTTGGCATCTGGTGGTGCTGCTGGTGCCACTTCCCTCTGCTTTGTCTACCCTCTTGACTTTGCCAGAACACGGCTGGCTTCTGATGTGGGCAAGGCTGGTGCTGATCGTGAGTTCAAGGGCCTTGGTGACTGCTTAGTCAAGATCTCCAAATCCGATGGTATTAAAGGCCTTTACCAAGGTTTCAATGTATCTGTTCAGGGCATTATCATCTACAGAGCAGCTTATTTTGGAATATATGATACAGCCAAAGGAATGCTTCCAGACCCCAAGAACACACACATCATTATTAGTTGGATGATTGCTCAGACAGTAACAGCAGTGGCAGGTTTTGCATCCTATCCATTTGACACAGTCCGTCGAAGAATGATGATGCAGTCTGGCAGAAAAGGAGCCGATATCATGTACTCTGGAACAATTGACTGCTGGAAAAAGATTGCAAGAGATGAAGGTTCCAAGGCTTTCTTCAAGGGTGCCTGGTCTAATGTTCTCAGAGGAATGGGTGGTGCTTTTGTGCTAGTCTTGTACGATGAGATGAAGAAATACATCTAAACCTGACCTTGTCCAGATACCTGCCATGGCATGCTGTATTATGTAACATACCCTGAACGTTCATGGACTTTTCTTTTTGTCAAACACATTTATTTATAAAGTGCAACCGGTTATATTTTACTAGTTGTTGTTTGGGATCAATCCTACAGGCCACCAGCTTTCCACATTAACACAAATCATTCCCTTCCCCTGTCATTATTGTATGCCTTGCACTATAGTGTAGGCTGTCAGAAGTGATGGGGATACAACAATGGGACTCAACGCTCCTTTATATTTTATTTCAGCCATTCATGTTTTTAAGTAACTTGGATTTGAGGAAATAAAAAAATAAATAAAAATGTGGATTGATCTCTGGCTATTCTTGTGTGAATGCACTAGCTAATATTGTAGTAGATAATTTACTGCAAACCAATTAGTTTGAATGACTATCTGTTCCTGTCCAAATTAAAGATAATAAAGTTGCGTGCACGCAGAAGTAAATTCACACTGAGACACAAAGTTCAGGGTAATGAAAGAACTTCGGAGAAGTTTAATGGCTTCTGGCAGAAAATGGGTGCGCAGACCCTTTTAAAGGCATTATTACATCATTGAAGAAAATCAAGATATAGACAAATAGACATTGTTAATTGGCTTAGGTGCTAAGATGTTAGTAAAATGCCCTCCCCATTCTTAGGTCACTATCCACGTCATTTTTAACTCCTCCAGGTTTTAGCGCCATTTTGCTAACATGAGGAGCTCACTCGACGGGAGGGGCCTTTTGGCAGCTATCCATTTAGAGCGTAGCTGGCACTTGTTAGTTTCTCAAGGTTAGGTTTCAAGGCTTTTAGTAAATACACATTTTATCAAAGCTATTTCTTGCTGACATGCAAATTCTATGTTCTATAGACAAGGCTTTCTTGTAAAACTATGGGGGCCTCTTAGAGGTATAGCAAGAGGATTTAAAGGGGCCTTACAGATTTATAGAGGCCTAATAATTCTACAACAGTCCCCCCTAAAATGTTATTTGCTAAAAGACAAACTTTATTTGTTAGTATCAGAATATGTGTTAGCCCAAAGACACAGAAACCCCATGACCGCTGACTTAGTGTTAATGCAAAGTGCAAGTCTATCCCTCTCTTGACCCTAACAGGCTGCAGCACATCCGTCAGTACGGTTCAGGAACACTCTTCACTCCGCTGGTAACCCATAGTGGCTTATCCACTACTTCTCCGTACGGCAGTCTACCCATAAAGACGGACGCTGTCCCTGTACTGTCCCTTCCTAGACTTTCTGCACTTCATCAGTATACGGGAGAGTTTGTAGCGGAATACAGGGTGAGATGAGATCTTGATCATCGATTGTCAGATGAGTGAAGGTTGGTGTTGCTTGGTCTACAGTTTTCTGCAGGAATTTCCTTAGGCATGGGAGGACACAACAAATGAGAAGAGCGAGAATAAAAAGAAAAATTAGTAAGGCAATACCAATCTGGACTAAAGCTCTCTGCCAACCAGTCATCCAACCAAACCATTTTTCCCAGGGATCAGTAACTCCAGAGTTTCTCTTTAACTCTTCTGAGAGTCTATTTAATTTAGCTATGGCCAGAGTGACTTTACCATTAGGACCTGTGTTTTCTGGGATATAAGTGCAACAAGTCATGGTGTCAGGTAGTATTTTACATACACCCCCCTTTTCAGCTAGAATCATGTCTAAGGCCATTCTGTTCTGGAAGGTCATCTGGGATGTGGCCTGCAACTGCTCGGCCAGGCCCTGGAGGGCATCCCTGGTGTAGTTGACAAAACGCTGTTGGTTGTAATAAATGTAGTTAATCCAATTAAGGTTTTTGTTGGCAGTGACTATAGTGAACAGTGATTCAAAACCTGCAGCTACTTCATCTCTAGCTTTAAATTCATTAGGTACCCCCCTAGGTACCCCAATGGCATCTATGTAAATGTGGGGGTCAAAACTGCCTTTTACTGGGGTTTCGCGCCTTACTCTGGCTGATGTATGTGGAGGGTCGTATGTGTCATGATGATTATCAGAAATAATATGAATGGGCATGATAACTTTGGCCAGGGTACACTCACCCCACCACTCAGTTTCCAGCCTAGATCTTAACTGTAGATCCCCACATAACCAGTAAATATCCCCCAATGACCTGGTATGGTGTTGCAACAGGCGTATAGGAACAGTTCTGTAAGTGGCGCAATAACCTTTAGAAAAGTTACCCATGAATTTACCAATCCCGTCATACATGGCATAACAAGTGTAATTACCTTTATAGACTGTGATTCCATCTGGTGGCTTAACATTTTCAACTAAGAGAGGGTACTCTGCCGTCCATGCCATGCAGAGGGACCTATTAAAGTCATATTGGTAGGCAAAAAGGCTTAAGAAGCAATCTTCTATCTCTAAAGGGAGAGTTAGGGGGACGGTGCCAAGGTGGGGTCGGGCACCGCCACATACATAACATGCTGTTTTATTATGTTTGTTGGCATTATACCTCATCCATTCTAACCACAAATTAATGTCATTGAATCCAGTTTCAGCGGCCATGGTATCTTCAAAAGTGGGGTTAGCGATGGCCATCATATCTTTAAAGGACTGGATATGTGGTTTTAGCGGATTTGGGACCATATGATCAGCCCCTTGCCACTCTGGAGAGTGGTACATATCTCTGAGGTAGAAATGACCTAATTTGTTGTAGGAACCTTTCTTCCAATACATTCCCATTACATATCGGTCTGCATCCTCGGGGCCAGGATGTTCAATATTTAACATTAATTTCATAGGGGTACTTCCTCCAGGCTTTCTTAAAGTCATTCTTTGAAGGAGGGATCTACCCTGATTGTCTATCTTAGATAAAGCACTTTTGGGTTTATAACCCCAGGCAGGCCCAGTATTCCATCCCGCAGCCCCCCAGTAGTTACAGTCATAACCCCATTGTTCATCTACTACACAAACGTAAGGGTCTTTTGCTTGTGGTATATCTTTATAAATGGC